GCTCCAGATGAGCAAAAATATTTCGATAAAATCAAACCTGAGAAAAATGTACTTAGATTTTAGGAAAAGTATAAAGATTCAAAATTCTAGTAAGAATTAACATGTTATGTGCGATTAATGACCGGTTTTCACTATTTTTTACTATATTTCTACTGCGTTACTAACGCAGTAGGGCTATATTTGCACATTTTGAGTTGTTCGTGCTATTGATAATGTGTAAATTGCATTCTTTTGGTAAGTTCACAATATTTTACTGTTAAATACATTTTCAAATCAGCATGAATCTGGATGCGTGCTGCTTTAAGGGAATCATAAAACTCAAATTGAAATGTATTTCATTTTTTGTCCAATATTTCCAAAAGCAAAGACTATTATAAAAATAGTAAAACTATTCTTTTTTAATAGTGTTTAATGCTAAACCTGAATTATTTTAATTAACAGTCTCAGGTGATTATGTTCTCTCAAGCCAAAAGTTTACCTGGCATGCTGCAAAAGGTAGAGGCAACTTTGCAACTCCCAACATAAATATTATTGATTCATTGGTTACTGTAGACATACCAAATAACTTCAAAAAGGAAGAAGCATGGGTTGGTTATTATTCGAAGGAAACTGCGTTTGCGTACATTGGTAAGAAATTGTAATAATTCGAAAAAAAAAATTTAAAAGGATTAATTGCAAAATGTCAACTTATTTTAGGTCATAAATCTACTGGTGTAGGTAGACCTCATGTGTCAATCAGGGGCATGAACAGGCACCAGAGTAGAAAAGCCAACATTCGGTCGTTAACTAGCTGGATAGCTTACTCATATGAAAGAATCCAATGTCCCTGTCGGGATTTGATCCCACAAGGGGCACACTTGGTTTGAAATCAACGACCTTAACTACTCGGTCACGAACATCTCTGTAACATATTTTGGTACAGCTTTTAATTATATTTTTATCTTCTAAAGATGTTTTGAATTTTTATGAAATAACTAAGGCCACCCAAACCTAAACAATTAATTAAAACCTATTACATTTAATGAGTAAACGCATAAAAGGGCAACTGGTATAAGTCCTGCATTACCTGTTATATACTGATATTTCAGGATGTTGGTTGATCAAGAATGTGAATCCAAAGGCTTTGTTTTCTCAGTCGAACAACAACCCGGGCATTTGCTTCTCAGTGTGCAAAAAATACAATCATAATTATATTGGCTTAAACGGAGGCAAGGTAATCGTTTCAATTAAAGACAAAATACAGAAATACATGTATATGTTAATAGTATATTAACCATTAAATAACTAAGGTGACCTTGATTGTTGCAATAGTTGATTGCGTTTTACTCATTCATTTAACAGTTTGTTTCTTATCATAAAAGCTTACTTCTTCAAAACATATGTAACTTGAATATATTCCTTGTTAATGTGGAAACATACTTATAAAAAGTTTAAAATGCTGAATGTAATAACTGAGAATGTTTTCATTACTTGAAACTATTTCATTATGAAGTGCTTTTGTATGCAAGAAAAACCTAAGAACATAAATCTGCCAGAATGTGATATTTCGCCAGATGGTATTTTTGTAAAAGGTGGAGGACATAAAGCTGATAAGTATATGTCAATATACGAAAGGATAAAAACAGGTACTTTTACATTTCATATTAAGGTTTGCATAAATCAAAGCAACATTCAATATCTTGTCCACTAAGTTCTGTAACCGGTTAACTCCTTTTATAATTCATAAGAAGTTTATACGTTATTGCAATAAGTTGGTAATTTGTAATTTGTCAAGTTTTATTAATTGATTTTTTGTTTCTTAACACTCCAAAAAAAAATCATTTAAAAAGAAAAGGAAATTAGAAATAAGGAAAGTAAGAATAAGACATTGATAGATTTTAATGTAAATGTGATTACTTTGTAAACTGCTTTCTTTCATCTTACATTTGTGACCACGTTTCTACACTTCTACGCCGTTAATGACGTATAATCAATAGTATCAGTCTCATTTATCTCATGGTATGTGACCTACACTGGATACTTATTCATTTACATTTCTAACTAAGATAACGATCATGTTCATAACAACATGAATAAAAAGGATTTCTTTTTATATGAAAGCGACGCATCATTTGTGATCGCCAACTACTTTGTTGATCGTTGTTATCTGTTTGGCTTTTGACAAATCCTGTATGTAGATAGTATTTTCTGTTCTTTATTGGTGACAAAACCCCCTCGTTTTTCCCCCGCGTATTTTTTCACATTTTGAACATCTGTATACACAATACATTGTTTTTTTAAGAATTAAGAATGCTTTTATTTGCAAAGTAATCGGTACATTAATAACTTAAAAGGAAAAGAATTGACAAATTGATGCTGTTGTCTTTTTTTAAATATATTTTTCATCGATAATCAGCCATAGGATTTTTGAAACATATTCTTTTTTTCTTCAACCGGTGAACGGTTCCATACCATGACAATCAGCTCCGTCACAATATGCTATTTCATAGCTACAAGTACCGAATCATCAGTTAGAATATGGTTTTATTGAGAACGAGTTTTTTTCTGCCTTTTTATACATGCTATTGACTGTTACTTTCTTTGCACAGCAAATATCATAATCTATCACAAATAAGTTGATTCACATACCTGACAACTATGTTACTAAGAAATATGCATAAAATATATTAATGGAAAAAAACACTTACATTTTGGCACAAAGTTATACAATTATTACAGTTAATACCTTGATTTTATGTGTTATCCCATAAAATGAGCTTTCTGGTATATGAAATTCAGTACAATTTCATCTAATAATGAAAAGATACTTTTATCATTCTGTTTTAGATATACATGCTACAAACCATAGCGGACAAAATGGTGGCAAATGTCTTTCATTTATGAGACAACCGACGATAGAATACCAGTGGAGTGCATGCCTCGATTTCAATCAGATTTTATGTGCAAAAAGTAAACATTATTTTTTACACTGTCTCTTTTATCTATTCAAATTTGATCTTTAATTGTTTTAAGGTCTTCGGAATTTTCGTCTTTGTATGTTTCTTTTTTTCCTGGTTTTGTTTTTTCCTTTTTTGTTAATTTGTTTTTTATATGTATTTTGTCGATTGGAACAACATGTTCCAGAAAACGATCACTATTTGTTTAATAAGTTTACTTCAAACTGTGACGGTTATACTTTTGAAATTTAGAATAAAAACTTGAAGTGTCAGGAAATGTAAGCATGTTCTGTTGAAAAAGATGCACATTTTTACAATCTTTGGATATGATATTATCATTTTACTTTAATGTTTTTCAGATTTGAATCAGCATGCTGAAAATCAGAGTATGCAACGTAATGGATGGAGGCATTATGTTCAAACTTGTTTTGAACATAATTGCCTTCCAATCACATAAAACGACACGATGAGTTCAATAGTGGACCAGTTTGTTCATTTGATGCTGTCCGGGCGACCTTAATTAATTTGCCCCTATGGCCTCCTGGTTAGAATCCTTCAAGGGACGTAAGATTTTTTATGTAAGGAAGGTATCAAGTAAGCTTCCGAACGGTAGTTCTACCCAGGTTCTAGTTTTACCTGAAATAAGTAAAACGGGGACGAGAAGTCTTCCCTCACCAGTAAAACCTAAAGTCACTGTAAAGACAGTTGGTGAGAAAACTATCTAAAACAAAACCACCATTACAGACTAAATAGTCATATGCAATCGTAAATACGGTCTTTTAGATAGTTTAAGTCTTCAAATGCAATTTTATTCTATTATGAAATAAAATATTTATTTATTGCAGGTAAACCGACGAAACCAAATGTTCTCACAACCTTAACCTCAAGAAGTGCAACACAAACAACATTTTCTTCTGTTACATCAGGTGCTCAGAATCATTTCACAACTCCCGTCGATAATACTCAAATTATGATTAGTAAAGGCGTTTAATAAAAAAAGAATCTCCAGGAATATAATTCTTCTCCGATAAAGTTCGTATAGGTCTATGTAGACAATTTGTGCCAAAATGTCGTCTGTTTCAAATGAAAATAATAACCTCTTGCTCGATATATATTTTTTCCAAAAATATAACATAAACTTTCATTTCATACAAATGCTTTTTATACAATCATTCTATATCATAGTTTCTTTTTTTTTATTGCGTAAATGACAAACTGATATAATTTGTTTGTTGTTTCTTTTTAGTTTCTTTTTATTTTCAACGCAGGTTCTGACGTCACTATCCCTGTCATCATGTCAGTTGTAGCTGTAATCTTAGTTGCTGTTGTTGTTGTTGTAGTAGTTTTTGTTTTAGAAAGACGGTAAAATACTTTTTCATATTTGTTCTCTGATTCAGTTGAATTTAAAACTAAAAAGCTTGTCATTATTACCTTCCATTTACATAGACGGGAAAATAGTTTTTGTTTGTTTGTTTATTAAGCGGATTCAAAAGAGAGCGTCACTATATGACTACATTTATAATATATTTTAGCAATAAACAAAAAACATTAAGATATTCGACACTTGTTACAGCAATCGCAATCACTTTTTCAGCGGTCAAATTCCAAGCATACGCATCAGATTTTCTGCTTTAAAAATGTTTTCTACAAGAACACCCGACCAATTTCCTGCTGTAAGCACCGTTCATGGTGCATTTCAAGGGTCTGCTACTGGACAAATTGATGAACGTAATAGTTATGTCAACGAAGAAGCAATAGAAAATCTCTATTTAGATAATAATGGTAAAAATGGTAACAAGGCACACACCTATTGCATTCTCGGACCAGGTGCAGTGGAAAGTCATTCGTATGACATGCTTTATGCGGCATAGAAAAACCAATGATAAAAACTTTGATTAATAATGGAACCGGTGACAATTATGAAAATGTTAAACATCCTTGTTTTTGAAATTAAAGATGTGTATTTTTGAAGCTTTATTTTTGGTATAAAATTATGTACAATCATGTAGTTATTAAAAATGTAAACTAAAAACAGCAAATTTATGATTTAACATGAGGCATAGAATGCATTCACATTAGTTATAGCAAAGACGCTCTATAAATTTAATTTTAAAAAGAACTGCACAAACAAAATTATTAAATTTTAAAAAAAAGCAATCTTCAAACCTTATTTGAAAAAAAAAAATTCAAACTGTGAAATAAATAATTGAATTCAGATTAAAAAGCAGTATTCTAATAAGTAAAAGAAATTCTTATTCACGGCAACTTAGTTTGATTATATTCCATGATAATTTACATATGGCAATATGGTATTCAAGAATGACGGTATTATTTTCGAAGGTCGCTTTTTCATGAGATAATTCCATTTTAAAAATTTTAAAATCAAGTCCGCCAACAACACATACTGTGTTGAGGGTAATATTTAGATATGTTGATAAACTGCACTGTCACTATATGTGTTGTACAGTTTCCAAACCGTCTAAAACCTAACATTGTTAGATGATAGTCTTGAAAGAATCACAAACATTACAATCCTAATTATCTAGTGTGAACAACTTGGTCGATGTCGGTAAATCTTTTGTACATCAAATGATAATACATCGACTTTATCTGGCATAAGAAGTGAAAAAGGGTTTGCCATTTTCTTTTTTACGTGTTAAAACAGACTAAACACTTTTAAAAACAAGCAATTGACTAATTGGCTGTATACAGAAATCAGACAATGCCTATTTTAGTATAAATCTGTGCCGGAAAAGATATTGTTTCATTACAAAAACAGATGACATCTGCTATATTTATTTTATGTGAGAATATTCTACACGTCGTTTTGCAGAAAGATTTACATGGATTCTTGTTGGCTGAGTTGTTTTAACCATGGAAAAAATCTTTATAAAGACCTTTGAAAGTTTACAAGGAAACCAAAAATCTGACCAGAGAGGCACATAAACATAAAGGTACGAAAATAAGAAAAAAGAACATCCACTCCAGCCTTTCAGCCTTAATTCTGCCTCTGACAGGAACAAAATGTTACTTTTCGACGTTTTAGCACTCCTGCGCAGGAAAACATAAGAACATTTTCCATTTCCTTTTTGTAAAGAGTCCGGACTGATATCAGGCCAGCCGCATCTGATGAGATGTAATAAAAAGGCTTAAAATGTTCTCCTGCTGTAAAATGTGTAGCTTTCCTCTTTTTGTTTGTTTTTGTTGTTGTGTTATTTTTATTCAAACATTTATATATACTGAAAATGGGTACAAATGAGGATAAAATATTTCATCGAATTCCAAAATGTTCTAAAGAAAATTGCAAAGTTTTTAAGTGTAAGCGAAGGATATATGTTTAGTTGGTTTTATTGAATAGTTTGTGAAATAGGAAGTCAAACTGTTGTGGCGCATAGTGATCATATAAAGACATCGGTTTAGGTTTGACTTGTATGCAAAAGGACAACGGATTTCAATAAAGTAGTGATATCAAAATCCATGATTAAACTATCATTATGTTGAAATAAATGCAAAACGCATGGGCATTTAAATGTACAAATGTGAAGGAATGAATATGAGACAGACGCTGTCATTGTACCTTTTTAAGAATAAAGTTATAAATCAAACAGTATGGAGGGGAATTAACTTATGAAAATACCAGGCCGGATTATATATTCATCTTAACACTGTATATCTTTCAGTAGGTTGCTTTATTATATCATGCTTCATTGTAGTTTGTGGTAAACATTCACAAGATTATCTAGATAATTTTATACGAAATAAGGGTCTGTAAATTTACATCGGCTCACAATTGTATATGTGCATGGGTTAATGGTCTTATAACGCAATAAAGTTTTGAATGAATGTATATCGAGTTGTTCAGTGCTACGTTTAGTGTTGTTATATTTTTTTTTTAAATTCTACTGTACCATCGACTTTCATACTTATATCTATGAAGAAAAGATAGTGACAAAATATCTCATTGGGTTACAAATCTCGTGTTTGGTTTTAAAGGCCAATTGAAGCTGTAAGGAAAAACTTTCATAATGTACCTTTCATAAGAACAACACCGTTGCTACAACTGTAACTCAGAAAAAGACGACATTATTATAATTTTATAATATTTTCTCTTCTTATTGATTGCAATGGTCTTTCCTTATTCTCAAGCATTTTCGGATTTTTAAAGATCCTGTATGTTGTGATCAATGTGGTTAACCACACTAAGTGAAATTATATATATGTGCATAATTATGCAGATAAAACAATTTTCAAACATCGTAGAATATGTTAAATATGTACTGCAAACATTTGTGCATATGATATGTAACCATTAAAATATATGCATTCATTTCTTATTGTAAAATTTTACATAAACTTTATAGAAAAAACATTTTTATTACCTCCCTTTACATGAAATGTTACATTCGGTAATATCTTTATAAATAATGCTTTTTGGAACGTAAGGTATTGATAAATCTTAATTTGAGCATCATATATATGATAAAAACCTTAAAAAATGTGTTACAGGATCTTTAATGTTACATTTTTTATTACTCAAAAATTGTTTGGAAGAGAGTAAGAATTGTTTTTCTTTTAATTATATTAAAATTATTATATTGTCCAGGACTTAGCTTTGAAAGTATAAGAGATATAAACAATACACTTTGTAGGTAGATATATCTCATTGGGTAGATGTGTAGTACAAAAGAACCATAACTCTGTCTTGTCTTATTTTAGAGTTATTCTCCTTTGTTCATTTTTACACTTCGAATTTTATAAGGGACAAAACTCCGACACTATAACAGATATCAACATGAAACTTTATCAGTAGATTAAAATTGTAGCGCAAAGAACAGTAACTCTGCCTTGCCTTATTTTGGAATAATTGCACTTTTTCCAAAACCTGTTCGGGGAGCATCGCCCGGTTCAACCGGTTCTTCTTTACATTTGTTATGTAGATATTTAGTAAATAGATTCGTATATTAATGCTCTAAATATGATGCTTCTAACACTTTGACCATAACTAAAATTATTGAGTATGTCACTATGGCGGACTTGCTTTCAGTCGATCATGTTTTTTAACTTGGCTAAATGTCTTCCTCGTTATAAAAGATTAAAACACACTTTATTGTACCCATGCCTAAGTTGCTCAAGGATCGGGTTTTGTATTCCTACTTGAATATTGTAACATCACCCTTAGGATATGGAGTCTGCTTTTTAAATTTGTCTTTTGACGTTTAATCTGTGATATGCAGCTATCAGAACCTAATGTTTTCTCGGGATAATGCGCCGCTTGCCTTGGATTCGTACGAAATAATCACATTGAAGGTTCCATGATACATGATAACTGTTGTATGAACACATCTGCGGATGTTTCAAAATTCAAAATTTTACCATTTTCGTTTTTTAAATGTTGAATTCTGCTAAAGCCGATGGAAGGGGCGTTGACGGTAACTTGTATTTTACATCACCGTCCATGAACAGTCCCGATCAAAACGAGCCTGCAATATTTTGTCGTTTTTGATGTTTTTAAGGGATTTCGTTTTCATCTATTTTATCCTAAATAATTGTTAAACGATGTTTTCTATCAGATTAAACCTTATTCTCAATCTAAAATTATTAGCATGAATTCACATTACAAAATGAAGCCGGATAATTTAACATATCAATGTTAATAAGGAAAGCGATGTTTTAAATGCATAGAAATTAAAATATGTTTTATCATAAGGATAAAGATAAAATAGCAAAATTTAACATATCAATGCTAATAAGGAAAGTGATGTTTTAAATGCATAGAAAATAAAATATGTTTTATCATAAATATATAGATAAAACAGCTTTTGTTTGATCAGCATGAATGTCCTTGTTTAAGCATGTATAATTAATATTCATCACTTTCTATCTTAATTTTCATCTGATTCAAAGCAGGAAGATCCCATCTGGGCTATAGGACTGTTAACCAACATGTCGTGCAAATTGGGATTGTATTTGATTATTGTGTTGCTTGCTGCTATTACTTATGGTAAATCTGTTTTACTTCATGACTTAATAACTTTTGTAAGCAACTTGTATGACTAGAGAAATGTGTATCTACAATACTTTTTGAGGGTATAATGCTCAACGAAATCACAGCCTGTATTAACATAAGAAATAAATGACAGTTTTTGTGTGTTTTAAACCTAAAAAACATCAATTTCCATGATCCTTAACATATTAAAAAAAAAACAACAAACAAATAAAAACTTATTTACAGAAAATAAAACTGAACAGACGATGGAAATGCGAGTTTCCTTTATGTTGACATTGAAAATTCGTGTGTGACTTTTTTCTCAAAACTTTATCTTTAGATACAACAGGCCAGCCTCACTGTACATATTATAAATGGGGAAAACAAAACCTTAATGAACGCCCAATGGCAAACTTAAAAAGACGTTGCAGTCTTGCTTTGTTCACGGACAGCAGTGTTATATGCAGGCAACCGTTTACGCCTCTGTTTTACAGACCAAACGAGAGTTCAACAATAAAACATGAAGCTTGTGATGTCCATACGGCTGTCAATTACAAAAACCGGCAAAAGTGCAAAATTTCAAAAATCGGTGTCAGGGATATCACTAGTGTCGTAAAAGTATATAACCTCAAATTCCAAGATCATAATGACATGATAATTCCAGTACTTGACATATTTGATGTATATCACTAAGGTATATTAAAGATGAAAGGTCATTCCTAAGGCATATCAATTTAAGATGCAATCTAAAATTAAAAACGCTTGAAGAAGGTCATCGCTATAACACACTAACGCTGGAATCTAAATGAAATAGATGTAGTTTTAAAACAATTATCAAAACTTTAAAATTCTCAAATGTCTTGCTTATTAATTTATAGTTAGGTTGGTGTTTGAATGAAAGTAAAAACTGGCCAATTGTTTATTTCTTATGTCAATATACTAGGCAAAAATTGCACATGTTTCGAAAACAATACAACACATGAGAATTCATGTCAAATATTAAGCACCTAACACGTATTATTTATGTCAAGATAAAGCAATCTTATGAATTTAAATCAAAATCCGTGTTTGTTTCCGTTTTTTTGTTACATTTACATAGACATTCTATAATTT